CTCAAATTACAAAAAGAAAAAAAGTTTGAATGCTGAAAGTGGAGCCTGCCAGGGAGTGCAGAGACACAGGGAGCGAGGGAAATAGAGGAAGAGCGGGATCCTTAGGTGACAAGAGCCCCAAACGAATCGGGGCGGCAGAAGGTAGGAGCTGGCTGCGTTCTGCCGCGGCTTCAGAGCTTCTCTCTTCCCGGAGCTGCTTGTGGCGTTCGCGTCGATGTTTTCTCCGCTCTTCTTTTCTGTGTCTTCCAAGTTGAGAAGCCTTCCGCTGTTTGCCGCTGACATCCACCCGCCTTCTCAGCTGTCAGATCTTTTGCACACTTGGCTTTCTGATCGACAGCTCTCGGTTGCAAACAGGAGCCTCTCTCTCTCTCTCCTTTGTTGTCTTGCCGGGTGTCTAGCTTGTTTTCTTTCGCTGTTGATGTGGCATTCGGATTTTTATTTGCCAATGACTTTTCATTTTTGTTGTTGCAGTCACGTAATAATCGGTATCAGAAAAGACGTCACCACTCCAATTCCTCAAGGAACAGAACGACTCCAAGTCCAAGATGATGCGAGCAGGAGTCATAAGCTTCTCATAAGCACTCCCTTTAAGTTGCACTTCCCCCCCCCCGACCCCCTCCATAGCTCTTTCAAACTAAAGTTCCAATGAAATGTCTTTCTCAAATTCAACTTTTTTCTTGAATTTCATTACATTGAATTATACTTTTTTAAAAAAAACTCTCTTGTTCCTAAACTTCTTATTGAAAGCGGGTGGGGCGGGGATAGAATTCCATGGAACTTACTTCGAAATAAAATTCCAAAATCATGCCCTTCCAAGTAAGTGACCTTCTTTCTTTTTAAACTGAACATCTGCTGTCGCAGTTCTAGATATTGTATCCTTGATTACAGAATCAAAAAATATTGGAGACCTTTAACTGGTTCAGTTAAATATTTTAAAGAGGGTTGTTGCCCTTGTTCTTGCTGTAATCATTATTATTAGTTTGGAGAAAGCTGTTTGAAGCCGTAGATTCTTGGGAAATTTCTAATTAGGAATGGCAAATGAGAGTTTCTGGCCAGTGGGTGCATCTATTATTACACGCTGAGAGAACAATTTCTTCCCTGGTGGAGCTGTCCAAGCACAGTGGTACTGAACTGGCTTTGGCGAGCAGACAAGGACCGGCGGGGGGGGGGGGGGGGGGAGGAAGAATCCCTTACCGAGCTCCGATATTGGCAGGCAACACAACGTTACAAATTCATCACCTGGTCCGTAAAGGTGGCTTATTGAAATAACATTTATTTCAAATTCTTCAAAGTTTTTTTAAATTATACTTAAAAATGTTCCATATAGCACTCCAAACTGGAAATAGGTTTCATCCTTTTAGAGTTAAGGAAAATTGCACAAGATTTTATGCTGTTTTTAAGACTCTGTCATAGTACATAATGCAATACTTTTAACAACAAGTAGTTGTTGTTTATTTATTTCTATGTTTGAAATAATAACGTCAAGGATATGAAAAAGAAGAAAATGATTAGGATGATATGAAAGCTAGTTTTAAAAATACATTCTTTTTTTTCTTTTTCCTTTTTTTTCCTTTTTGTACAGGCAGTTTGAAGGCTTTCCAGAGAAGCACACAGATTTGAAAGGGGAAATGTTTTTCTTAAAATGTCAAATGCAGGAAAGTTCTTCAGGAAACCCCTCAAGACTTCATCATCTATTGTTTAGTCACTATCCCCTGGACACCAACTATGGGCAAAGATCCTTTTTAATCTAGGTTTCAAACAATCTGCTATTGCTCATTTGCTTCCCTTTCAAAAGTTCAAGTCCAGATTAATTTTTAAAAAATTGGCCCAGGAAAGTAGGAAAAGCACTTTTGATCATTTTAAGATGATGAAAACCAAGAATGAAATTACACATCAGGCTTTTACTTTCTAATTCAGTTATATGGTTCACAGGGGCGTATATGGGCCTTCTGGAACGTACAACATACTCCTCTGTTTTCCAGTAGCTGAAAGAAATGCAACAGTAATAGCAATAGTAGTAAAATAATAATAGTAATAATAATAATAGCAACAGCAATAAAGAGCAGCCAAAGCTACCCTCTAATTTAATTGTGTTTAGATGGTTTAAGATTTTGTGTTTTAAAAGATTATAAACTTTTTTCTTAAGGCTGTACTAAGAAATAAACTTTATGCAGATTTGAAGTTTTTCTGATAAGAATTAGTGGAATTCTTGTGACATCGTCCTAGAGAAATTAGCTTTCTTCCTAAAGAATTGTATAGATTTTTAGATTCATTGAATCCTTCATGGAACATTTCACTACCAAAAACCTGTTGCAAGCCGCCTCTGCCACCTTGTGGGAAATTTAAAACCTGCATGCCTGAATACTAAACTTCAAAATCCCCATTACCACCAAGGTCTTGGAGATGCTTGTCAATATGTTTGTGCTTTCTTATCAACAATGTTCACAATTAATAATTTCATTACTATCGTGCTATTCTGATACCTGGAATAAAAAAATGGGGTAAAATCAGAAGTTCATAATTCAAGTACAGATAGTTTTTTCTGACATTGCTACCCTCATTGCTCCAGTAAACTTTCCTGTTTGGATAAGTCTTTGGACTA